CATGTATCTTTCAAATTAAAGAGCATTCCTCTTCGCTTGACGAACGAGCTCGTAATAGCCATGAATCGTGTCGTTATTACACCCATACAAATTTCATTTATTTTTATGGGAAAGTGAAGTACGTTTTCGAGGAAGAAATGTAACTCGTATTTCTTTAAAAACTGAGAAGCATTAGACATCGAGTGGCAAAGAGGTCTAAAGATTTTACATAGGCTTATTGGAGAAAGTTTTGCAATAATTCCCTCCTCTGCTAACGACAAAACAAGAGGATACAGAGGTCTGTATGCAGCATGACCAGCTACTTTAATAAGTGGAAATAGCTGTTAAGTGATTATACTTTTCTTAAGTTTTGTTTTGAAAGTTTTAAGTGAACGAAACAGGTCAGGCAGGGAGCGGTGACAGCGTGTGGTACAAGTCATCGGCTAAACTAATATGGTTAAATGTCTCTCTAAAAAACTGTAAAATCTATTAAAGCTCAGTGAGGTACTATGTGAAAAGAAAAGCGATCAAAGCTTTTTGCTAGGCTAAGCAAGGTGATATGCCTCTGGTCATAAAATAAATGTCACCGATTTCACAACAAGTGAACATAATTTAATTTCAGTTTTCCAATTTCTATTGGCATATTTATTTGAATTTGCCATCGTGTAGGCTTAATCTATTTCGGATGCAAATACTGTGATTAAGTATGATGGATACCGCGCAGCATGAAAACATGCAAGAGAAAAATAAACACCATTCAATAGCGCCAATTTCATCACTAGTGTCCTGTTTTAATTTTAAGGACGGGTGTTACAAAATGCGAAGAGTTGGTTACAAAGTCCAATAAGGTTCTTAGAAAGTACGACAGGTATAACAAAGTGTGACGATTTTTAAAAACCTCGCTGCTCTAATAACTAAATATCATCAGTCGATTATTCTATGATTATTCAAGCAGGTGTTTTACGCGGGAATTGTGCTGCAGATTTTCAAACTACAAAGCTTCTTCAATGTTGCTCCATTGATTATTCTTGTTTCTTTTTTTAGTGTGGCTCAACGCTATCATGTTTTCCGAGTGCCTCATATTTTTATGTATACTATGAAAAGTTGTTGAATTATTTCTCCCATCAGGTTGGAGTCATAGCCTTAAAGACGCAGTGACTAATTGAATTATGAAACTTCTCCATATTCCTCTGTTCCTGGTTTACTTAAAATTTTCCACGAATTCTGAACCACAAACGCAGTGCAGGTTCCAATTAATTAAAGACCATTAAATGGTCTGTGGACATGGCTTGCTTTAGTAGACAAGCAAGCGACCCGACAGCTGGCAATATGGATGCCATCTTTGCGCGAAGTCAAGATGAAATGTCAAATCTGATGAAAACCAAGCAAGTGGATTTCACTTTTCCCTTTCAAGCTAACCATAAGATAGACGATGATGGACTGCCTAATGTCACACTGATCCGAGCATTTGTGTCATTTGGCAGTTCTCTAATAGCAAACTTAAAGAAGTGTGAGGAAGAATCAGAGGAACAGCTGTTTGCATCTATTACGTCACAATGGCCAATTCTGGTTTGTATGATGTTACTGTCAGGAGTTTCAGGAATACTCGTATGGCTTCTGGTAAGAACATGGATTTATGTTGGTCATACAGTACCACATCGGCTTAGATAAGCCGCACGTTTGGGCGATGGGACACGACAGAATTCTGAGAAGATGCCTGGAGGTTTTAGGAAAACTTTAGGAAAGGTTCTCATCAGATTTGACATTTCACCTTGACTTCGCACAAAGATGGTATCCATATTGCAAGCTGTCGGGTCGCTTGCTTGTCTACTAAAGCAAGCCATGTCCACAGACCATTTAAGGTTTGGTACATAAATCCTGGATCGAGACTTCCGCTCATGATGTAAGGAGGAGTGCTCAGCAAAGCGACTTTGAACCTGCACTGCGTTTTTTGTTCAGAATTCGTGGAAATTTTTAAGTAAACCAGTAACAGAAGAATATGGAGAAGTTTCATAGTTCAATTCGTCACTACGTCTTTAAGTCTATGACTCCAACCTGATGGGAGAAAATAATTCAACAACTTTTCGTACAAATAAACATAAATATACGAGGCACTCGGAAAGCTTGATAGTGTTGAGCCACACTGAAAAAAAAAAAATAATAATAATCAATAGAGCAACATTAAGAAGCTTTGTAGTTTGAAAAATCTGCAGCACAATTCTCGCGTAAAACACCTGCTTTAATTTCATAGAATAATCGACTGATGATATTTAGTTATTAGAGCAGAGAGTTTTTTAAAAATCGTCACACTTTGTAATAAGAACCTTATTGCACTTTGTAACCAACTCTTCGCACTTTTTAACACCCGTCCTTACAATTAAAACAGGACACTAGTGATGAAATTGGCGCTATTGACTGGTGTTTATTTTTCTCTTGTTTTCATGCAGCGCGGTATCCATCATACTTAATCACAGTATTTGCATCTGAAATAGATTAAGCCTACACAATGGCAAATTCAAATAAGTGTGTCAATAGAAATTGGAAAATTGAATTTTAAATCATGTTCACTCGTTGTGAACTCGGCAACATTTATTTTACGACCAGAAGCATGTCACCTTGTTTAGCCTGGCGAAAAGCTCTGATCGCTTTTCTTTCCACATAGTCCCCGCACAACTTTAATATATTTTACAGTTTTTCAGAGAGACATTTAATCATAATAGTCTAGCCGATGACTTGTACCACACGCTGTCACCGCTCCCTGCCTGATCGCTTTCGTTTACTTAAAAAAAACCTTCAAAACAAAACTCCACAAAAGTGTAATCACTTTACAGCCACTTCCATTTATCAAAGAAAAGCTGGTCATGCTGCATACAAGACTCTGTATCCTCTTGTTTTGTCGTTATTAAAGAGGGGAATCATTGCCAAACTTTCTCTGATAAGCTTATGTAAAAACTTTGAACCTCTCTGCTCGTCGAAGTCCAACGCTTCTCAGTTTGTAAAGAAACACGAGTTGCATTTCTTCCTTAAGAGCGTGTCCACGAGGGCACCAGGCAGTCATTCTACATGCCATCTCACCAATTTCGATGAAACTTTGCCAGTTTAAAGGGTCTACCCCAAAACTCAAAAAGACAAACTGGTTTCTGTTTTGGTTTTTTCTGGGGGGAGATAGACCACACCCCGGTTTTTCTTGGTTTTCACCAAGGAAATCGCCTCAAAAGAGGTAAAATGTATGAAGCTCTCACTGCGATGGTATTTAACCAATCGCTCTGAGGGTTTGTACACATATTTTTAAATCCTTAGTCAATGTCTGCTGCAAGCATCAGTTAATTTGATTGACAGCTTCTCAATTAACAGAGGCAAATAAACGATTATGTGTTTAGACTTTTCGATTCATCCAAATATCTGACAACTTTGAGGTCAAATATCTCCCCTTGCCAGAAAGATGAGACACTTCTCTTGATTCCCCTTTATAATCCATCATTTCATCTCTGAAAATCATCAAAAAAATCTTTGGGCACTGCCATAATATTGTCGTGCAATTCTTGCCCTAGGCGGTCACTTGACCGAATAAACCTACATTTTGTAGCTCTTTATACAAGAGGATTGATCAAGAAAGGTAAAAAATGTGAAAAAATTTCGAGATTTTCGGTAGGAATGGAAAATTTCACGTTTAGAGATATGCATGTAGGCGAAAAATCGATGGGAAAATGTGCAAAAATGGGCTGTATCACTCCCAAGTATTCCGAACTAAACGAGCAAGCGATGGAGTGGTTTTCACAGCAGAGAGACCAAATATTTCATTTGTAATGTGAAATGAGAAGAGTTTTTGCCGAGTTGAGTGAGATCGTCTTTCAATGCGTGGGAAGTATAGAATCTGCTGGTGATCATAAATACGTTGTTGTCACATCAATTTTAAAGCATGTCACGTAAAGAGCGCTGCAGTCACGGAATTTACGGTCATTTCGCATTAAAATTAAATTTGTACTTGTTTTAGAATCCCAAACCCTCGGCTATAAGCCGAAGCCCGTTTCTTGTGAAAAAATCTCCCAAACTTTTGTGTCAAATACTGAAAAATCGCTCGGCTTATAGGTGGAGAAATACGGTAAACTAAAACTAAATGTTGAGCCAAGACGGTAAAGTTACGACTTTCTTTTTTTTATCTATTGGTTATAGACAATATCTAAAAACTTTGATTAAATCGAAAGGATTTGAGGATTAAGGACGTTTTGAAACGATTAACTTTTAACCTAGAGTCTTTAGTGACCACTTGCATCTGCCCTCTATAATCTTAAAAGTTAGTAGCCCCAAAAATATCCTGAAATGTTATAAAATCTCGTGCTTTTTGCGAAAGAAATTGAGAAAGTGACCAGCCAGAAATTACTCTTGCATTCACTTAACCGAGAGAAGAGAAGTCAAGAAACAATTATTGTTATATTATATCTTCTGTGATAAGTTCTTCCTTAAATAATTAATAAAGAAAATAACTCTTCATTTATACTTCCAATTTGCACCACCCATACTCAAAAGCTTGCTTTTTTTCAGTACTTGTGAAAATTTAATTCCATAGAGTGTAAACAAACAAACCCAGAAGTTACGCACTGAAAAGCAAATACCGAAGTTATTATTCTTAACGCTCGATTCTGTTCATCCGTCAGGACGGAAGAGGTAGAGTCTGTAATTAACAGTGCAAGCTATTTCATCAATAGACAGCCAAAGCTGATTGCAATGGAATGAGAAAAATTTATAAACCTACTTGGTTCACTTGCTACCTTTCTCTGAACACAATGTATTGGTTTGTTAGCCTCAATACCAAAAGTAAGGAAATTAAAAAAGAAATAGGAAAAAGGAAGGAAAAGAATTCAATACAATTCGTAATAAACAAGAAGTCAGTTACGTGTCCTATTCTGTGAGACGCAATCACCTTCTTTTTTTCGCTCAAGCTAAAAATATGCCACTGGTCATGGAAATCTCAGAAGAGTAAAATGCCATCTGAGTTTGTTAATGACAAAATGTTTTATGTGTTATAATATTGTTTCAGTATTTTTACTCTTTCCTTTCAGATCAAGCATATTGTTAGAAAATGAGCGTTCTTTTGGTCTTGAGTATTCAGGACTGTCCACAAGAGACAAACCGTTCGCGGCACCTTCAAATTCCTCTTTTAACTTTTGTATATCAGACGTTATGTCTTCTAGTCGTTTCTCCAAATCCAGGAAGTTTTGCATCATTGACATCTTCCTGCTGCTAGGAGTCAGTCCTGGAAGAAGGATCATAGAGGAAATTTAAAGAAATGAACCATTAAATAAATCCCTGAACTTTTGTCTTTCCGTTTGTCAGTACACAAGTAGTCGATATTTCATTCGGTCATTAATCGTTTGAATAACTGACTATTTCCTAACTGACAAACGGACTGACATAACTTCCTGTTATTTGACTGACAGACCGACATTCCAATAAGCATTGAACCATTTCATGTAACGAAGGTTTCAACATTTCTGATTAAAATCTGAGGGACGTGCAAACCGACTAACTGGTTGATTGGACGACTGACCAACCGACTGCCTGACTGACTGACCTACTATCTGGCTGACTGACTGACCTACTGCCTGGCTGACTGACAGATAGACAGACAGACAGACAGACAGACTGACTGACTGACTGACTGACTGACTAACTAACTAACTACTAAACTAACTAACTAACTAACTGACTGACTGAGCAACTGAAGGACGAGTGACTGTCTCGCTGCCTTTGATTTCCAGCTGCATTTAAAATTATAGAATCACATCAATACCAAGATTCATACTAATTAATATAGAACAATTTTCTTCAAAAGGTATCTGTTTTATATTTACTCTGCAGAAACCTATGGTAAATTAATTTGAGAAGCAGTTACCTTTTCTCTTCTTGCGTACCGTTGGCTTAAAGTTGGTGTAGACCTCCCAAAGTTTGCCGATGATTATTAGGAAGGCGAATATTCCCAATAAAGCAAATAAAATAGATTTGGTCATTTGTGAGCCAGTGGAGAATAACCCTTCCATTTCATCGGACAAATCAGCTGTCTACAAAGAAATAAATAGCTTTCAAACTGTTGATTGCATCGGAATAAATGCTAAACTTGAAGAGAAGAATGGCGCGTGGTGAAATATAGAAAATTCACAAAAAACAATTAACTACCTGTAATTCGGCAGGGATAAGTTGCTCTTTGGCAGTGTCTTTTGCAACTCCAACCAAATCCGGTGATAACTCTCTTAGGCTTTCCCCGCAAACCGAAAGCTTAGTTTTTCTAACCGATACTTCGTCATCAGAATCGTTCGTGTGATTCGGTGACCCCATTCCGTCATGGCTCACGTGAGCCAGGTAATATTCCATTGGATAATCGATGTTACGAATCATTCGGATCTGCCTGTTTCGTTTTAAACCAGATTTATCCAAAAAGTGAAAGGCAGTGTTGCGATCCACCATTACTCTTCCAATTGTTCCTTGGCTAAGACTTTCTTGCATTTCATCCAGGTTGTTGAACTCTGTTAATTAAAAATATAATTGATTAGTTCGCCAACGCAAATTCTTACATGAATAAAATGAGAAAAAGTGGTGGAGAAATTTCTCCTTAAAGTTTTGATACAAAAATATACGAAATATGACTGAAATTAAAAGGTAATTTTTAAGCTTATTTCTTTACCTTCGTAGTCGTCCCTGAAGAACAATGGTCATGCAACGCGTTATGCAAGAACATTGAAATAATCTGAAAAGAATTACTTACTGACAAAGTCTGCGTCCAGCTCCATAGCGACTATATGCGTTTCAGGATTCTTGTCGGACACACCCACCTAACAGGTAAATTGGCGTCAGACAAATTTTTATATGCCAGTTCGGCCCTTATAGATTGCGCAAGCATAAGTTTTGACCTAAATTGTTAAACAGGCATAATCTTTGCTTGTATTTATGAAAGTAGCACTGCAAGCCTAATCAGGATGTTTTTTCTTATTTCGAAGGAAACATTATCAGAGTCATGACTTGTTTTGGTCTCTAAGACCGATTATTTTCAAATTCGGTCCGAGGTTCATGTCTATTTTCAGGTTTTCAATGTCTTGGAAGAAGAGGGCTACCGCAGTATAGAATCATTCGTTGTCTAGAGGACTAGGCACATCCGTAGTAAAGATTACATCGTTTATAGTTCCCGCTTTCACAGGCAAAAAAATGGCGCCATAGAGAAACTTACATTTTGACTCGTCAAGTCACTGCTTCTCGTCTGGAATTCAATGTTAAATTTTGTTTTGTCAGAGTATGTTTTTCAAAATAAAGAAGATTTCATGCTTAATTGACGACAAATATATAATTTGGACTTCGTTTGTTTCTTTTCTTTTTGTAAAGCACACTTAAATAAAAAAGTAGCATAATTTTCAAAAACGAGCGTAATTTTGAGCACCATTTGAAAAATGATCGAGCAATATTACTGGTATAATATGCTACTTTTACTAGCGCAATCTATAAAGTCTTAGTGCCAAATGATAAGTACTTTCCTCTTGCAAAGAATATGAAAAGTCTGTACAACGAAAGTACACTTAAGTTGTAGTTCCAGAAAGACTCAGCCTAAATAAAAGGAACAGGGAAGGCATTGTTGTTGAAAGGGCCAATAATATCCGAAGTTGTACAAAACCAGAGCAATTTTACATGTCGACAATCAATTAAAATTGTTTAATGTTAATTTCATTCTTCCATACAACTTGCTAACTCGGACTCAGGTAGCTCATAATTCCTAGCCCAGCTGTCCAAAGTCTGAGTAGCGCTAATCCGGGTCTAATTTCATGCGGGTGTCTTTTATTCTTTCGAATAACTTTCTCTATTTTTTTTTCTAAGAGTATCTAATAAGTGAGGACAAAAAGAATTATCCTGAATTTTCTTTTACAGCTTTCAGATCTTAAATAAGATTTCCATTACTCCTGAATTATCTGAACCCTGCTTTTAATAACTCGGCCCTATGACTTAAAGGTTTGAGTCACAGGGCCGAGTTGCATTTGAGTTGTTCCTGAGTTCGATCGATGAGGGTAGGATTTCATTAATTGGCAATATAACTTTTTCAGGGAAAAACCTTTCGAAGCTTGGGTTAAGATAAATTTAAAAATGTAGGGAATCTAATTTGAAACCAAGAAAATAATCACTGATATATTTCCTTACAATATCACCCCTGAATCAAACATTAGGGTCATGAGAATAAAAGAAACTAAAGAAACTCTTGATTGTTTAAAAAAAATTCTCCTTCCCAGCACCTTAAGAGATGTATAAAGAAAAACATGGAGAAAGGGGCATAATGATGTTAGGGTGCAAAGGGTTTTAGGTGTTCATGTCAGGGTTACTAACCTTTTTGCCACCGATGTCCATACATCTCGTACCATCCAGGGAAGCTTGCATAGCATTTGTAAATAAGGCGGTGAACAGCGACAACATTATTGCTCCTATCAGGATCCAAAATATACCAAATGCACGTCCACAGAAGGTTTTAGGCGTCTTATCACCGTACCTAATGAGGAAAAAGGAACCAAATATCTTTGCGCTTTGAGGATAGTGTAGTAAATATATAAATTCTCAATCTATACCTAAATGACCACTCCCCCGATAAGGCTTTTCAGGATCAGCACAAATGAATTAATTTATAAATGAGAGAATGAATGAAAATCCCAACTGGAAGGAAGCTGAACATTTGGCTATATACAAAGCGCAGCCGAAGAGTTAAACTCTTAAACTCGTGGCAACCGGAAACAAATCCTGTGCCTCCCTCCTGTAGCATAATAAATGCCGTGCCCCATCGATAATGATCACAATCAACTAAATTGAAACTAATCAGAGTATGTGCGTTTAAGCAAAAAACTAGACTCCATCTAAATTTGACGAATCTCATTCCCCTTCCCGCCCTCCTCTCCTTACACTATCCACTATGTCAAAAAAAAGAAAAAAGAAAAAACCTGAAACATAGTTTTAAGATATGCAATGGAAAATTATTTTTCTTTTATTTGCTACTATTCATTTTGGTTTATAAGCTGTGAAGAACTGTGAACTAAAGGACCCCGATACCACGTAACAACTAGTAATTTGTAAGACTGGAAGCCAATTCAAGAATGGAACCCTGGTAGAGATTTTGATAAACCCAAAGCATGTATTAACTTCGACAAAAAAATGGGTTTTACAATATTGCTTATCTTTGATCGTATTCAAAGGACGCAGTGAAAAAAAGAGCCCACTGATACCCAAATTTAAATCCACTTACCCTACTGTTGTAAGTGATACCACTGCCCACCAAAAGCCTTCTGGTGATCCTATCGTGAACGAGGGTGAAAACTGAACCGCGTTTGAACGGTGTTCCTGTCATGGAAATTGGTATCACTGTTTAATGAATTATATATAAAAAAAAACCGAACATGAAGGTGGCTTTTAGTGTGGAGTAAATAAATTGATTAGAAAACGCTTCTAGCTTACTTAAGGCCTTGCTACAACGCGCAAAGTTTGCAGCAGTTTTACCGTATCCGAAATTGTGGCATCTGGGAATAAAATGTTCTTATTTGATAGTTTGCGTCATTGCAACGGTCTTTTTTCACCTACAAACAAACAAACATTATCTGTAGCTTCATGACTTGTAGGGCATTTTAGTTTGGCTTTTTATTTCGGTGAGGTCATAAGGTGTGCCTAACCAACCGTTTACTCAAAAATGGTGCCGTCGATTCTTACTTAAACTATTTTCATGTTAAAGCCGTAACAATTAAGTTCGAATATAACCTGACGTAGGATTAAAAGTAAAGAGCTCTAGAGGCTTAGTATAGATTGACGATGATAAGCCTTAACTCTTACCAGGAGCCAAATGATCACTCCAGATATCCCTGACAGTAACATGACACAAGCCAATATCGGCCATTGTGACGTAATAGAAGTCAGTAACTGTTCCCGTGACTCTGCTTTGCACTGCTTTAAGTTCACAATCATTGAACACCCGGATGATACAAATGCCCGAATGAGTGTCACACTGTCTAGACCCGCAAGTTTTTGTTTTGCATCCGATAGAATTGGAAAACCAAAATCAACCGACCCATTTTTAATCAACTTCACCATCTCGTCTTGATTTTGAACAAATACTGGTACCATTTTGCAAGCTATGGGGTCTGTTGCTTCTCTACCAAAGCAAGCCATGTCCACAAACCATGTTAGGGTTTGATTCATAAATCCTCCGTCAATACTTTGGTTCATAATGTAAGGAGGAAAATCTAGCAAGGCAAATTTGAATTTGCATTTTGTTTCTTTATCTTGTTCCTGACGAAGTTGACGCGTTTGGCGAACTTGACGATGTTGCCTTATTTGACGGGCTTTGCGCACTAATTCCGATTGATCGATTGAATCAAGCTTTTGGCTGCTGACAAGCCATAAATCGCAGCAAACCATTAGACATAGGACCAATCTCAGAGTTGCAACATGCATCGTTAACACCGCCAAGATATGATATGGTTAGAAACCTCCCCTGAGGCTACCAGACTTCAAGTTGTGTTCAGATCTAACCAACAAAAAAACAAATAAACAAAAAAACCACAGATGCAAAAGTCAGAATAATATGTTATCTGTTTGCAAGCTTGTTGTTTTATACTGCATGGGTGCAATGCAAGACCAGATCTCAATATGACTTCCATTACACTTACATGAGAACATTCACGAAGAAGACATCGTGCACTTGAAAAGAATGGAACGAAAATATGATTTTGACCTTCTCAAAGGACTCGAAGAAGTTTTTTATGGACAAAAAGTTCTGGAGTTCTCATTGAGGTGGCGATATGCTCTCCTGGCTATAGCCAGCTACCTTCAATGAACGCTTTTTTTGTCTCAATTTCCGAAAACCCCCCATTACGATGTATCTATTACCACACAGCGTGCCGTTATCTGAGTTAGTGTCTTACAGAATTTACACCAACAAGTGTAAGTGTAAGTGCGGGGTAGTATAATCAAAGTTACTAATTAAAAGCTGACACTTAAGCCAAAAACAGACAAGGCGGCTACAAACATACTGACAAATTTTGATTCCCTTCCATCAAGAAGTTCGAAAGATGGACTCGTTATGAATTTTGAATTGCGCTTGGCGGTTGGCAATAACTGTTTTTTGTCAGGGTCTGTGTCATCAAGAAGGCTTTTAGAAAAATACTTTACGTCTTCAGTTTAAAAGTAGATCCCTTTTTCCCAAACTGACACGTGGTGAAAAAGAAAACTTTACTGTGAATCTTCAGACCAACAAAATTTGTAATTGTGGCAGATGCAGTTTAAGGGCTTGGTTATCAAAATTTTGGGCCAGAAAATTACAATTTTAAAAAGAATCCTTCATTAGCTCTTTTTATATGAGATCTTTTGACAAAGTATGGTTTTTCTTCGACTCCGCTTTTGTGTGTCGAAGAACATAACGGCAATTTTGGCACATTAACTTGTGTTCTACAAAATCTGCAAGGATGGCTATGCCAGGATTATAAATAAATCCTCATTGTGAACAAAAACACCGCGTCAATGTAATTTTTTTCTAACACTACAGAATATTTTGAGTCCTGGACTGCACGCCAGATTGAGTGAATGTTATTATACCGTTATCTGTGGGGGAGAGAGTAGAGGCGGACTCTAAACACGATTGATAAAGTCTGGCGAAGGGCTGCATCGAAATTTAAAAAGACGATCGCGTTTCGATGTTCGATTAAGAAATTGGGAAAATGGACTTTTAATGAAAGATATTCAAAAGGGAATCAGTAAACATAGTGCAGTATGATAAATTATCATTATGGGAAATATTCAGAGCCGGGCAAATAAATGTGCTTTCAGCTGGTTTTGGCAAAGCCAAGAAATTATTGAACTATCACTACTTCTACTTCTTCTCATGTTTAAATTCTGTTACATAACTGGATCTCATTGGCAATTCAAAATAAGTCATAAAAATTCTGAATTTGGGACAGGTTTCGTTAATTTCAGGAGAGGCCATTAAAAAGAAAAAAATTCCAAATAACAATATCAACATAAATATTGGAAATTAGGTTGCCATTTTCTGCAAGAATAAAAAGCGTCTGGCGAATTTGACGATGTTGCCTGATATCGCGGGCTTTGGGCACTAATTCCGATTGATCAATTGAATCAATTCAGGGCTTTTGGCTGCTGGCAGGCCGTAAATCGGAACAAATGAAGAGACATAGTGCTAGTCTTATGGTTGCAATATGCATGGTAAAAACTGTTGAAGAAAGGAACTACCTAAAAAACCTCCCTTGCTTGCACACTTGAAGTTTTGTTGTGATCTCAACAAATAGCGCTGGCTCTTCAGAGAAACATGTTACTGAAAGATGATCAACGCCATAATATAAGTCAGTATTCGAACATGAACAAGCCCATTTATGTTATAATTTATAATGCTATCGTTTTAATGAACCGATACTTAATCAGGATTTCCTTAATTAATTTTTCGATCGTTTTAAGTTGGGAAGAGGATAGCCGATAGATTAACGAGTATCATTATGATTTTTTTTCCATCGTCTATGATCATACAACAAAAGCGAAATACTCCCGTGATATTTAGGAATTTCAAAAGAACTTTTTAAGCGTTCACCTTATCTGCTCAGTGCCAATAAAAACATCACTATTTGTGACGGTAATGCAAACAGAAAATTGTAGGGCCGTAAGAAGCAAATAAATGTGTTCCACATTAAGAATACAATGTTCCATAGGTTCAACTACAAAAGTTCTCTTACTGTTGTGGAAGGTGTAGAGTAGAACTTTTCAAACTTTAATATTTGAGCCTAGTAAATTGTTGAGTATTTTCGTAATATTTATCAAAATTAAGAAAACGGCTCTAAATGTTGAAGTTGATGATACATTAAATAGCTTTTTTATAACTGGCTTTTTAAGTCCCAATATAACTATCCAAATTTCACGTTTACGAATTTCAACATGTTTGCAATTTTGCAGATCCACCTCAAGTGGTAAACAAATGTTGTTACACTCATTTTAGTACAAGGTTTGTTCTTGTCATTTAGTAGTTTCATTTTATTGACCGAAATAAAGCAGATTCTATTTGTTTTTCAAAAGTTAGACATAAATTAATAACTCAAAGTATATGTAGAAATAACTGTGCTCTATACTATTGAGACGCTTTCATTCCGAAGTTCATCATCATTATTCACGGAAAACGCGTCAGACGTAAGATGATTCCGAACAGTTGGTAAACGAGGAAATTATTTAAGTTTCAATTAGAAATGATATGCAAATAACAAATGGTGTAAGACAACACTATCCATTTTTAACTTTTTCTCTTATAACTATTTAAAGGCTGTTTAACTTTCAGACTCATCGATAGCTTCAAACTAAAATCTCGAACATTTATTAGTCGACGCTGTCTTGTTATAAACGGAAATTTTGGGAGATATATCTCATGAAGTTTCGTAAGGCCCTTTGTTAAAGAGGAAACTCTACGTTATCAAGAATCAGAATGAGCCTAGCCTAAAGGCTGTTTAACTTTCAAACTCATCGATGGTTTCGTAAAGCCCTTTGTTCAAGAGGAAACTCTATGGTATCAAGAATCAGAATGAGCCTAGCCTGCAGTGCAGGCGTCTTACTAGAGCGAGCTAACGTTATAAGCTCGCGATCGTTTATCAGACCAGCCATGTTTGGTTTGGAGTTAGAGTGGACGGTGGAAGTAGTGGGCGGGGAAAGGGAAAGAAGACACCTGCCTGAAGAGGCTGTTGAAAAGAAGATCACCCGCTGATTAGTTGCGTGTCACTACATTTCCCGAAGATGAGCGGGTAACCGATCAAACTAAGTTAAATTAAAAATCGGAAGCATTGTATTCCGACAAAAACAAACATATGTAGAGCCGATGAGTGAAACGGTGAGGAAGTTTTTTATTTTCAGCTAGAAAAGAATGTCTTCGACAAAATCTCATCTGCAATCACAAATATGAGCTGATATTTAGTACAATCTATATTTCCCAAACGAAAATCCTTGAGTATAGGTGCTGGTTATTTGTTTGACAACTTTTCTTCCATTTGATCGTAAACGATACTTCGAAGCAACAAACAACTACTCTCAATGGTTTGTACCCCATAATTTTTGTTTTTATTTTTGTTGTTGTTTTTTTTGTTTTTTTTTTCATCAAAGAAATAAGGGCTTCACCAAAACATGTATGTATAATAAACATACCTATAGATGTTCCAATGGTTAATGGTGTAAAACACCGATAAATATAGGAATAAATACCATTTTTCGCACGATAATCAAACGGCAACTACTTGAAAATGCGTGGGAATAACCGCATTCGGTGAATCGCCGATAACAACGCGTTTTCTCAACGCGAACACCTAAAAAACGCCAGAAAACATGGCATTTCTTTACTTTGACCAACCCGTGAACGTTGGACGACAGGTGGTTTTCAAGCGTTTTCTACGCATTTTCCTGTCCTTGGAAAGTGGAAGAAAACGCTCTGTCCTCGACGGAAAACTTCTGTGAAAGCAATCTTCTGTTACTGGAAAACACCAGTAAGCAACGAATACAAACTGTTTTCCCATCTGATGCCGCATTCTTAACACCAGAAAAACAATCGTTTTCGTACAGTTGTGTGAAGGAACTGTGAAGGAAAACTGCTGGATAATGGAACGAATATTCCAATTCGCCGACTCGAAAGAAACGGGAAAACGGTTGATTTTCTCATCGGAAAATGTCAGAAAAATGCGTGATTAAAGCCGCGTTTTCAAATATTCAGAACTTGTTTTCCGTACCGGTGAACACCATATGTTTCGCAATGAAGCACACGCAAAGTAATGAAATAAAAAAATACCTCAAAATATGTGTAGAAATAACTGTGCTCTATACTATTGAAACGCTTTCAATCCTGTAATCATCGTTCCGAAGTTCATCATCATTATTCACAGAAAACGCGTCAGACGTAAGATGATTCCAAACAGTTGGTAAACGAGGAGGTTATTTGAGTTTCAATTAGAAATGATATGCAAATAACAAATGGTGTAAGACAACACTTTCCATTGTTAACTTTTTCTCTTACAACTATTTAAAGGCTGTTTAACTTTCAGACTCATCGATAGCTTCAAACTAAAATCTCGAACATTTATTAGTCGACGCTGTCTTGTTATAAACGGAAATTTTGGGAGATATATCTCATGAAGTTTCTTAAAGCCCTTTGTTAAAGAGGAAACTCTACGTTATCAAGAATCAGAATGAACCTAGCCTGCAGTGCAGGCGTCTTATTAGGGCGAGCTAACGTTGTAAGCTCGCGATCGTTTTTCCGACCAGCCATGTTTTATTTGGGTTTAGAGTGGACGGTGGAAGTAGGGGGCGGAGAAAGGGCAAGAAGACACCTGCCCGAAGAGGCTGTTGAAAAGAAGAACACCCGCTGATTAGTTGCGCGTCACTACATTTCCCGAAGATGAGCAGGTAACCAATCAAACTGAGTT